TAGTACGTTCATCAAGGACAATGACACCTCATCACAGATGAGAATTTCTCCACGCTTACTAATACCAAGCCTTGATACTCCATCATCGTAAATCTGCACATTCTTAGTCCAATTGCCTTTCCCCCGCCGGGAGTAAAATACTGAATCTCTGAATCACGCACTAAGTAAACTCCCTTCTAGTCATTCACTGCCCCGACACGTGGGCAAACATCCTACCATCATATCACTACTGCAGAACAATCGTTCATAAGCATCATGGAAAATTGTGTCTAGCCCCAGAGCCCTCAAAATTACCGCTACTGGGCTGAAACAATAAAGTATCCTTCTACAAAGCGACGATAATAATCTGATCAGCTATACCAGGAGAAACATCCCGTATCACATCTGTAGTACCATTACGGTTCCTCCATTCTCGATTTATAACAAGCGGTTCGCGCCGCGTAAGATTGAGTAGGAAGGAAACAAAGGCATAAGCCTCACAGGAATCAAATCGCACGATCAAGAATCAAGAAGGGAAGTACTCCTAACAGCCCTGCAGCCTCCCAAGGATAAGTACAGACGTCTCCGTACCGATCCGCGAGACTCTACTAGACTTGCTCATGACTCGTGAGACCTAAGGGAACCTAGTGCTCTGATACCATGTTGTCATGACCCAAAATCCACTAAGGGTCGTGATGGCGCCGGACACTGCTGTCAGGCAAGCCAACCAAATTACTTAATCAAATTCTCGTCTTAATACTTTTGAAATCTAGGATTTTCCTTCAAATTTAGCAATTTAAAAGATAATTGTCTCAAATCAAATTTAAATGATAAGCAGTTAATACAAAATACTTCAAACCATCCCAGAACCCGGTGTCACAAGTTCATGAGCATCTACAGATAAGGAAATAAAATACAACATCCGTCCGAAATACAGTGGACAAGAAATAAATACAATACACTGGAAGGGACTATACTAGCTGCGGGTCACCTCGAATAATGCAACTCACATGGTCCCAGAATCATCCGCGCTGCTACGCCCAGTAGGCCACAAGGGTTACATATACCTGTGCAACAAAAATGCATAGAAGTGTAGTATGAGTACGAAAACAACGTGTACTCAATGAGTATCCCGCCTAACCTCGAAGAAGTAGAGACGAGATAGTCGACTTCGACACTTACTAATGGTCCAATAGTGAGGTCAGTAATACACTAAATTATGGATTTCTATAAAACATGATTTTTATCCAAATAGGAGGAAACAAGTAAACAATTAATTCTTTTATAGAAAATTTCCAAAATTCTTTTTCGTAATTATCCAAGTAATTTCAGGCCATGAAGAGGCAATAATAACTTAATTAAGTTCAAGGCAACAATACAAGCATGCGCATATCATGCCGAGGCGACGACCCGATCCAACAGAAATGTAAACTGTGCACTTGCCGAGGGTCGACGACGCGCCTATAGATGCATCTATTACCCCGCTCGCGAACTAACCTGCGACACGGTCAACATAAAATAAACACACACCCTACTCGCGAATCATGCATGCGACGCAGGCACACATACCGAAACATGGTCGAACAATCAATCAAGATTTATCGGGGGACATGGTCCAAATAAAACAAATTCCCTTTTAACAATTCGAGAAAATGACGTTTAATCCTTTTTTAAATTCATTTACTATCCCAAGGTGATCTAAGCAATTCAATCCTAAATAAGTTTACAATTAATCCAAGTATAGCATGCTTTTAGGTCCTAGACTACCCGGACAATAGCATAATAGTAGCTATGCACGGATTCTCGTCACCTCGTGCATGCGTAGCCCCCGCAAATAGGAGCAAATATCCAATTAATTCACCTAAGGGGACATTTCCCTCTTACAAGGTTAGAAAGGAGACTCACCTCGCCTCGAAGATCCATAACCGGCATTCCACGCCCTTACGAAGACTCTACTTGACGCACCACGCTCCAAAACTAGCCAACGGTTACGCAAATCCATTAATATATGCTAAAATATTCATCACAATCTAATTTATAGCAATTCCTAACTCCGATTGAAAAGTTGACCAAAATGCCCTCGGGCCCACGTGCCCGGAATCCAAAATTTTTCGAAGATAAAGATTACCCATGATCTTAGGAACTCAAATATATAATTTTCACTAAATTTCATACTCAATATTGTGGTCAAATTCGAAGAAATTCCAATTTCTAGGTTTTCCACCAAAACTTAAATTTTTCCATAATTTCCTTGCCTAAATCCATGTATAAACTTTGTATTTAACTCAAAGCTAGCATAAATTACTTAACTCATGATGAGTGACGAAAATGGCACCTCAAAGCTGCTCCCTATCGACTCCAATGGAAGAAAATGGGGTTGAAATGAACCCAACCCCGAATTTTAAAAGACCTCACTGCCTCAGCTGTTTCCGCACCTGCGGTCCCTTGACCGCTTCTTCGGTTCTGCAGGTGCGGTTAAAATGCTGCATTTGTGGTCCTCCCTAGGCCGCCCTCTTTCGCTTCTGCGATATGCCTTCCGCAGATGCGGTCCCGCTTCTGCGGAACTCTGACCGCATCTGCGGTCCACTCCAAGCCGCTCACTTCCGCTTCTGCGACCACCCTTCCGCAGTGCGGTCCCGCTTCTGCGGAGCCTTGACCGCATCTGCGATCCTCAAGCCTTTGACCAAAAATCGCTTCTGCAGCTCCCTTTCCGCTTATGCGGGGCCGCTACTGCGGTTAACCCACCGCAGAAGCGAAAATACCAACAACCAGATCCTTCAGTTGTCCAAAAATCCCAATTTCGATCCGTTAACCACCCGGAATCCATCCGAGGCCCCCGGGACCCCAACCAAACATACCAACCAATCCTAAAACACATTACGGACTTGCTCGAGGCCTCAAATCGCATCAAACAACGCTAAAATCATGAATCGACCTCCAATCCAAACTTAATGAACTTCAAAAATTTCAAACTTCTATTTCCGATGTTTAAACCTGTCAAATCACGTCTGATTGACCTCAAATTTTGCACACAAGTCATATTCGACATTACGGACCTAGTGCAACTTCCGAAATCGGATTCCGACCCCGATATCAAAAAGTCCACCTCCGGTCAAACTTTTAAAAAACCTTCAAATTTCTACCTTTAGCCAAAGGGCTCCAAAATGACCTACGGACCTCCAAATTCACTTCCGATTGCGCTCCCAACTCCAGAACCACCATACGGAGCTATTCTCAGATTCGGAATCCCAAACGGACATCGATAACACTGAAATGCACTTCAAGCCAAACTTAAAAAATTTCTTCAAAAATGCTAACTTCCACAATAGACGCCAAAACGCTCCCGGGTTATCCAAAACCCGCACCAGGCATACGCCCAAGTCCGAAATCATCATACGAACCTGCTGGAACTTTCAAATCCCGATTCCGAGGTCGTTTACTCAAGAATACCATCCTAGTTCATTCTTTCAACTTTAAGCTTCCGAAATGAGAATTCTCTTTCCAAATCAACACTGGACTTCCCGAAATTCAATTCCGGCCACGCGCACAAGTCGCAATACCTGAAATGAAGCTGCTCACGGCCTCAGGCTGCTGAACGGAGCGCTAGAACTCAAAACGACCGGTCGGGTCGTTACATTCTCTCCCACTTAAACATACGTTCGTCCTCGAACTTGCTGAGAACTACACTGAAGTAGTCCGAAATCACTGGTTAACTCCTCATGCACCTTCCCGTGCTACCACAACTCAGTTGAGCACATCAGCTCGATCAATTCTGAAGATATTCCCTTTTATTCAAGCAGATATGGTGTGATGGTGCAATCTCCTGTATAGTTTAATGTTTTGTTTAGCTTGCTTCTTTAGTACCCTGCTTTGCAATGTTTGTTGAGTATCGAAATTATTTTTCTTGTTCTACTTTGAATCCACAGAAGCTATTGATATTTTTGTGAATAAGTTTGGCTTTGGTTTCCAATTTACATGACCAGTTTACTTCTTTTTCTACAACTATGTAATTCATTGCTTTACAATAATTTTAAATTAGCTTTAGAAAAATAATTATGAACATCCGTAGTTTGCTTTAGTTGAGTACAATCCTTTAAAATTAGAATCGAGGTGTGCCATTAGTTGAATTTTCCATAGCCCTCGCAAACTTGAAAGTGCGTAGTCGCTTTAGGCGCGCTATTTTAAAGTTACTTCCCTAAACTCGGGTGTGCATTTATGTGACCCAATTCCAAATCTCAACAACGTTAGATGAAATGTGTCGTAGACCGCGGGTGCATTTATGTGACGTGGTTCAAGACGTATTTTATATGACGTTGAATCTTTCCTAAAAAATGATAATTAAATAAAAGCGGCTATTAAGTTAAAATTGAACCACAGGCTAAAACATGTATTAAAATCAGATAATAGGCCAATAATAACAGTTGAGCGACCGTGCTAGAACCACGGAACTCGGGAATGCCTAACACCTTCTCCCGAGTTAACAGAATTCCTTACAGGGATTTCTGTGTTCGCGGACTGTAAAACAGAGTCAATCTTTCCTCGATTCGGGATTTGAACCGGTGACTTGGGTCACTTAACTTGGAAAAACTACCTTATACACTTCCAGGGGTAGGAAAAAGGAGGTGTGACAGGTATCACAACTCTACATGTATCTTTTTAGTATAAATCATGTATAATTTATCATATCGTCGTATTTATCGTATATGATATGTTGTATAATTTAAGTTTTAAATAAAGTTAATTTTTGTGATGTTCAATAAGGTATAATATTTCCGCTCGCATATGCTGTGGTTAATTCGGAGAATGATGCATCATGGGAGTGATTCTTCCAGAATTTGCGAGAAACATATGGTATAAAGGAAGGAATGTGCATCGTATTTGACATGCATGAAAGCATTTTGAAGGCAACGTCAGTTGTGTATCCAGAAGTGCCTCATTGTGTATGCATATTCCATTTATGGAACAACATAAAGTTGAGGTTCAAGAAGAGCCAAAAGAAAACAAGGCCCTTATTTTTTACTATGGCTAAAGCATACATAATTGAGGAATTCAACCAATACATATCAGAAATATTTAATCTTGATTGGAGAGTTAAACAATACTTATTCAACATTGGATATGATAGGTGGACGGTAGTGCATCCAGCTGTTAACAGGTCCATGGTGATGACCTTAAATACTGTGGAATCCATGAATTCTGCGAATAAGGCGACGAGGGATCTACCTATCTACTATCTGCTTCACTACTTGATGAGGCTGGTTGCGGCTTGGAATAACAGAAACAGAAATGGCACACTAACAACTGGTACAAAGCTTAGCACAAAGTATGAAATATTGCTGAGGGAAAAAATTATTGCGTCGAGAAGCATGACGGTAAGTTAAATTGACATACAAGGTATAAAGTTAGAATATATAATGATATTAGAATGTACTGAAAAAAATGTTACTACATCATGATTCATATTATACTATATATAAATATACCGCATATAATGATTTCATTGTATAAACTTTATACAATGAAATATGGGTTAGTTTAAGCATCGTCCATAAATCAGTGCTTGTTTAGTTTACAGCATATGAATTAGAAGGTCTTAGCCTCTCTGTTACCCTCTTAGGAAAGAATATTTTCAGTCATCTGAAAATCTGCTGCTTTGTTCAGATGTCCACCATTCATTGTGTTGATTTTAGAAAGCTACCATCGACAACAATATTAGGCATGCAGTACTCCCACCCTTTAATTGATGAGTAGAGTGCTACATATACATATAAGAAGCACCCGTCATCCGACCTTTCCAACTTTGTCACTGACCCAGGATTTGTATGCAACATATACAAAAACCTCGGCAGCTTATTATACGAATCGCTTGGTTTACCTCGCAACAATTCAAAAGCTTTTTCCCTCGACCTCCATGATTTCATATAATTCAAATAAACTCCATAATCCCTCTTGAGGTCACGTTATTTCTGCTGGAGCATACTCCAACTTTGGATCATCTAACTTGTTCATTATCAAACTATTAACGAGATTAGAGGTAGCCTTTTTCACATGTGTGAACTTTTTCAAGCTTTCTCACCTTAAATATATTCGAGGTGTTTAGGCTTGACGCCTTAGATTCCATGAGCATTTATCATCCACACATACAAGATAATACCTACAATATTATTCCGCTACATTCATTAGTTACTTTTGTGGTTTCAAATATAAAATTAATTTACTAACTTGGTTAAAACTAGAATGTATTTATACTGGCACATATAAATTATACACATACCATTCCATGTATAATTCGTGCATATAATGTAAAGCATCAGTTCAATCTTTTTACCCAAATGTTATACTAAATTTATACCGTTTAATAGTAGAATATGGGAATATAGTGCTATATACATGTATCTTCAGCCGGCTATATCTAGATAATCAGTGAAATTTATATAAGATTACCACTATTATTTTTAATGTACAACATACAAAGTATATCCTACAATTGTATATAATTATTCGTTAACTTTACATTTACCTTGTTTTATTTGAACGATCAACCTTGAACTGGAACTTCTCTCAGATTGCAAGATGTTTCATAACGTTTTGCAGTATATCCCTGTTTTTGTACAACTGCCCTTCATTAACCTCTTGATGTGTACTGAGCCGAATATACACTCTTCATCGATCTGCATAACATCATTGTCCTCTCCATTTTCGGAATTAATCCATTCAACTGTTTCCAAATTGTCAACCATTTGCAGATTATGAAAAAGATTGGAGTTTGCCTTGTTAACAACCGGATTCGAGAATGTACCGTCGTTACTCTGCTCTTTATATGTTATACACAATGGATAATAAGTGAAAGATAAATTTCTGCTTTTCAACTCCACGTACAAGCCCAAACTCCTGTCGTCGTATGTTTTCATGGGTGGAAAATACTCTTTCACAGAATATCCAATATCCATCATATCAATATTTGCGTCGACTCCAAGTATCTTTGCTATCTCCGAACGAATCGATTTAAAATACCAATCCATATTAATCAACACGCCATCGACGCTAAAATTCTTAAACCTGTGTTGCACATACCATTCACCACTATGTTGAACCAAAATTATGATTCTGTTATCCATGGCAGAAGAAGTATACGAGATATTTCAGTTGTTTACTTCCTATCAGTTGCTTCTCATCTCTTTATATAATACGATATGGCATATGGAATATATGGAATACGACAGTTACGAATAAGAAGATTGGCTGACACTAATGCCTAAATATCTTAATTAAGTAGAAATAAGTAACTGAAACTATTTAAGATGCGTGATTGAAGGTACCATGATTAAAGAATTTTTGATAGGGAATATAAGTATGATGTTTTATACTTCAATACCACACAAGAGGGCGGGGGGGGGATTTGTGTGGTGACCCATTTNTTTAATTACCTTACTAACTACCACACGAAGGAGGGGGGGGGGGGGGGGGTGATTTGTGTGGTACCAAATTTTTCGCTTAACTTGATTATAGAAGGACCTGGTTCTTCTATGTGTTCAAACTACTACTGTTGCGGAATAATAAGTACAGAAATTAAAGAACACAAAGATTTTACGTGGAAAACACCTGGTTCAAAAGGTAAAAAAGACCACAACCTACTTTCAGTAGGATTTTCCCAAACTCTCCACTAAAATCATTGAGCCAAAAACTGCATTTACAAAAACTCTTTTGTAAACCTAGGATTACTCTAATCCCGTTGTGGCACACAGCCTCAACTGTTGCGAAAACTTCAAGTTAACTCTAACTTGAAAACTCTGAGTACCTAATACAGTTGCTTTTAGATAAAGAGGAAAGGTACAATATGAAAACACCTACTATAATTGAACTAGAAATAAAAGACAGACACTTGGAACTGGTTCTTCTATCTGGTTCAAGTAGCTTCAGGTTTGCACGCTTGAATCACACACAAATTGCTTGCAAAATTGCCTTGCTATTTTTGCTCTCAATTTACGTTCAACTTCTGCTTATTGCGTTACCTGTAAAAGAGAACAACACTGATATTTATGGAGTTAGTAAATAGAGATTAACTAGAATTCTGATGCTACTCTTCCTTGGTGGAAGAGTTCTAGTGTTGTTCTCTCCAAGCCAACAACCATAATGCCGTCATTCTTCTCCTTTTCCTTTGTGAGCTCAGTTTTGAGAGCATCTCTCTCAGATTCAACCTCTGCTAAACGAGCCTACAACCTAGCTATCTCAGCATCCTTTGCCCCACTCTCCTACACTAGAGCTCTGACCTTGCTATTAATGGGTGTCTTTTTAGATGAACCGGGTTCATTGGGAATGGCATTGACCTCATAGTCACAAGCAATCGAAGTGTTGATTCCAAAATGGTCTTTGCTTATGGCCATCTCTCACTTCTTCAGTGACACCTTGCAACGATCAAGAACAGTAGTCAGAATAAACCCATAAGGGGTGGCATGGGCCTTAGAGCCATTGATCACCCTATTAAGCAGCTTGATCATAAATGCAGGCCAGTTGATCTGCCTTCCACTTTCAAGACATTCCATCAATACCGAATCCATGTAGTTAGCAATGTGTCTTTTTTCCTGCCTGGGCAGCAGACATTTGTTGACAAATTCAAACAAGACTTTGTGGCATGGCTTCATTTCACTTTTGTACACGACCTTGGCTTCATTCACATCAGGGACATCACAGAACCTCCTAGTGATGGCAAGTGCAGTAGGAAGGGAGTCCAGACTTGGCCATTTTTGCCTTGTGTAGTCATCATACCCTTCAGAAGGGATGTCAAGGATCTCACCCAGCTCCTTTGCATCAAATGTCACTTGAACCCCTTTCACCTGACTGGTAACTCTGCCATCCTTGACCTCTGCATTTGCCATGAACTAAATAATTTCAGTCCTGGCCAGCCTACCATCCAACCCTGAGCAGCAATAGCATCAACCAGTCGAACCATCCATGGTTCCTCCAAATCCTTCGAAGTCTACCCTTCAAAATGTGTCGTTTGCCAAATTTGTCCAGCTTGTCTTGTTCAGCATCGATTCACTCTCTTCTTCACCACTCCATTCTTCCTCCTCAGTGATTCTAACTTGCTTGGTTTTCACAGCAGACCTTGTCCTCTTGGCCAATGAAGGTTCAACAGTCTTAGACACAGATGAAGACTTCTTGGAAGAAGTCTTGGTCTTCTTGGGCTTGGGTGTCTGAACCTTCACAGTTGTGTGTTCTTCCTGATGGACCTGTCCATCTCATCCACATGAACAGTCTCAGCAGGATCTGCAACCTTAGCTTTCCCTTTATCCATCTTCTTCTTTTTGCTTTCTGCCATAGCTTTTTGTAACTCATTCTCACTCTGCTTCACCATACTCCTTGTGGCCCTTCCTTTTGGTAGGGGAATCTCAGCAGTTGTTGGAGAAGCAGCCTTTCTTTTCTTGGTAGTTTCTGTAGTGCTGGGAGCCTTTGGTATTGGTGTTCTCCTTTTCTTGGGGTTATAACTAGCACCCACTTTCTTCAGAAGGTCTGCTAGGGTCTCTTCAACAGATGAACCGGGTTGATCTGCATGTGAACTTAGATTAACCAGCCCTTCAGCAGCCTCCCCTGAGCCACTTCCCCCTATTTTCTTGCTACTTTCAACCACATTTTCATCCTCAGCCCAAAGATAGCTGGTCTACCTATTTCAGAAATGGGTGGAGAATCAACCACTTCTTTCCCTCTTCCCTTCACATCACTACTCACACCCTCACTCTCCTTTTCTTTTTCACTTTTATTTTTACCTCCTCTCCTTCTTGACTCAGATGTTTCCACATTCATAACAGACCCAACCAGAACAAACCTATTATCCAAGTTTTTAACCAGAATGGAGCGTACCTCAGAAGGGGGATTTTGAACCTTCTCAGAATCAAAAGACCCAGTTCCTTCCCCCTCACTCGCAGATTTGAAGGAATCATCTGAGTTTTCAGAATCTTGGGCTTGGCTAAACTTCCATTATGTGTTCAGTTTCTTTGATAGTGCACCTGTAGCCACAGTTTTGTGAGCAAGCATCTTCACTCGCCTTCTCCTAGGTTGGGGGGGTTGTGGCGTGGGTTGAGGAGGTGTGGAGGAATCAGAGGGGGTACGTTGTGGAAGAGTGCCTGGGTTATCTTGAGGGTTAGACATCTCTGCTAATTCTGGAAGAGGATTTTTGAATTGGATTTTTGGAAGAGAAAAGAGTAGAGAGCAAAAGAAATTCGACGGTTTTAGAATTATGAGAGTGGCAGTGATGATGATGATGTCTTTTACATAGAGAAGTGTAATTAATGTCGAACGACAACTTTTTGGGGTCAATTAGAAGTCCAATCACTCTGAAATTGCCGGTTGAACAAGTGATTAGGCTTTCCTAGATCCTAGTCATTTTATGCGGTGGGGATTCTAATAGAGACGGAATTGGTTCAAACTCAACAAGATAGGTTTTTCTGAGGTTTTTGATCATAGGTAGGACTCTGCTCATGAATTAAACATTAGTATTTCTAATTGTGCAGAGTGTAGAAAACATACCTCGTTATTCAGATGAACCAGTACTGATGAACCAGGTTCTTCACTAAGAATCCTCTTGATCATGCCTCAATTTACCAAAATAGAAAAATTTGTTAGAGATCAGTGAGTCATATCAACACATGGCACAGGAGTATACTATTTATAGTATGAAACTGAGCAAAAATTAATCTAGATATTTACACAAGTTCCAGATTTCCTAACCAAACATTTTTTTTAATTTTTTTAAA